CATACTTGCTAGTCTTCCTGCGCATTGAAATGGTTAGTTCCTGCACTCTCAGTAAGGTTTCTTTGAAGTACAGCCAGATCTCTTGGACTCCTTTCCCCCTCAGTCTGGCTTCCCAGGAGATCCTGCCCATGAGTTCCCTGAGTCCATCAAACAACTCCAGTTAACCTGAGAAGAGTCCACCTCATTTCAGGTCAGAATCTGGCCTAAGGGGTTAATTGCATCTCTCTGACTGTGTCCCTACATGCCACTGATTTATGATGGACTGCCTCCCCCCCGCAACAAGGTGCCCACTCTGATCATTGTTCACTGACTTGGCAGCAATTCGTGGAGCCATAGTATACAAATTCGGCATCCACCAAAGCCAACAGCCTCTCCCCTTCCGGGCTGATTTCAGAAGTGACGCAAGGGGCTCTGGGTGCTAGAGAACAAAGAATTGTGTCCTAATCATCTGACTCTCTCTCGGAGCCTCTGCTTCAGGTTTATTGCCAAGAAATGGAAGAAGTTGCCAAAGTTAACTAGAATTTTCTACATGTTTCATAACACTACTTCTGACTCAGCAGCCCAGGCTGCAGCAGGCTGCAGAACAGCATTGGTCTCTACCTCATCCTTGGGAACAGCTCCTGGATTAAATGACAAAGACTGCAGAGCACTCTGGGGATACTAATGATGTGTCAACATTTCCAATGGCTTGGTGACTCAGCTGTTAAAAAGCTGCTTAATGCAGAAGGTTGGCAGAAAGTCATGGCTTGAGACTAGTTTTCTTACCCAAACTAAGCAAGCACACCTTGGAGGATTTGGGTTCAAGACCATTGCAAAAGAAATAATTATTTTCCACATGAACGTCGCGTGCCTCCCAAGGCTTGAGGGGCATGGCAACCACCCACAGGTGGCAGCGGTGCTTGCAGCGGGGGCACGGTGGTGGCAAGAGGGGGTTGGCAAGCGCCAACCGGCAATCGGCAACCACCCACAGATACCACCGGCAGCGATCGGTGACTGCCCACAGACGCTGCTGGCGGTGTCGGGGGGGAGGGGTGATAAGTGGCCCACAGGCACCACTGGCAGCGGCCAATTTCAGGTGGTGTACGCGTACTCACGTGCACCCCCTATGCATCACCAGTGATTTTCCAGGCAGAGGCCTTTGTGCCCTTGAATTCTGTCTTATGAAGATCCTCTAGATTTACCCAGGATCACTTTGCAGAAACCCCCTTTCCAGGCAACGAGCTGCTGAACTTGGGCCAGCTTAAAGATGTGCACAGTAAGGCTGTGTGAAATTTCCCTGGCTGTTTCATTTTGATGCTGTTTCGACTTGTTTCAAGCTCGAAACAGTGAAATCGAAATGAAATGAAGGGCTTTAAAACAGCCTCGAAATGAAATAAGGGCAGTCAAAACATTTTGAAAGTTTCAAAATGTTTCAAGTTTCAAAACTCAAGCAGGGCTTGCCTGCAGGAAAACAGAAAGTAAGGAGAGGGAGGGGGAAGGAGTGCTCTCATATTGACTGTGTAGCTGGCCAGTGACTGTGGTCCTTCCCTGAGGTCCCTTACAATCCCAGTGCTTTGGGGCAGGGATGGAAAAACAGCATAAAAGGCAGCACTGTTTGAACTGCCCTGCTTTGTCACCCATGTCATGAGTTTTGCTTGTCAGCAGCCTGAGGTGCAGTTTCCCAGAAACCCCCGCACCTCTCTCCTTGAAAGCTTGCAGGCTTTGTGGGCTCAGCAGGGGCTACCATCCTTGCAGTTATCACCCTGCTGTGCCTTAACACACACACGACACAAGTTCTGCTTTCAAGAATTTGAGGTTCAGTTTCCCAGAAACCCCTGCATCTACGTCCTTGAAACTTGGCAGGCTTCATGGCCTCAGAAGGAGCTACCCTCTCTGCAAGTTCCATCCAAATCAGGCAAGAACTCACAAAGTTATAGTCAGTTTCATGGTTCCCCATTATAGCCTATGGGCAAAACATCGAAACAGTGTTGAAACAGCGAAACAGTTTTGACGAGACGAAATGGAACAGTACTTTCAAAACTAAACGAAACTCGAAACAAAACACTGTCCCGTTGAAATGGAAGTTGAGACAAAACGGTGCTGTTTCGCACAACCCTAGTGCGCAGCCTGGAGTCCAAGGCTCAATCTGGTTCCCTTGCAGTTAATAAAGACCAGCAGGGCTGCAGTGGAGAGATCCAACCCCTGATGCAGTCCTTCTCAAAACTATCACTGGTTCTCATGCCTATGCCTTACCTTCCTCTTGGAGATGGTAACTCTAAGATGTAGAGCAGAGGTGGGCAATTATTTCAGGTGGAGGGCCACTTACCAAGTTTTGACAAGCTGTCGAGGGCTGCATGGGTAGCCCCACCCCCTGGTCACGATCTCGGGACCAGAAGTCCCATTTCCTAACCCCTGACCTTTGCCACCAGAAGTCCTTCCCCTTGCCCCTGGAAGTACTCCTTTCAGCAAGGGGTTTTGCCATCTCAGAACCAAAAAGATACCACATTATATTCTAAAAATCAAACATCTACAACATTCATTAATTTAGTTTCAAAAAATATTTTGTCCTGATTTACATGCGTTTGTATAGTGTACACAGAAGTGATCACACAATAGCTTAAAATGAAATCTTACTCTTGTATATTGGGGGTGGATGGGTATAGGTTTGTGGGAGGCTGTGGGTGCGTGGGAGCGTGCAGGTATGTGTGGGGGGGATAGGCGTGGGGGTGGGATGAGGGAGCATGTGTGGGTGCATCTGTGGATATGTGGGGTGCAGGTGGGTATGGGGTTTATGGGGGCTGCGTAGGGGGGGAGGGTGGCTGGGGTATGTGAGGGGGTGTGGGTCTGCATGTATGGCGGGGGGTGTGCGTCCCCCCAGGAACAACA